AATCAACAGTGACAAACTGTTGGCAATGATCCTGGTAGATAGAGGTTATTACCAATCTATTGGGGGAGTGTAATATTATCCCCAAAATCTGACTTAGAGTACTTTTGTATGAAGACAAGTTAGTCACGTTGTGAAAGTCTGTAAAATATTATAGATTTACTTTAATTTTCAATAAAGACAAGCCATCGTGGCATGATTGCGGGTTAAAAAAAAAAAAAAAAAATTATTTTTAAAATAGAATTGAATATCTTAATTTTTATTATTATATATTTTTCTATTTTATAATTAAAAATATTATTTTTGATTTATTAGTAATTTAGAATCTTTAAATAATATAAAAATTATTAATCTTAATTTATATTAAAAAAAAAAAACATTAAAAAACTTTTTTTCAACTTACAATTATATTAATACAACTTGTTTTTATTATATGATATTTTATGATTTGAGAAAGTTCTAAAAAGATATTAAATTCTAAATAACTAAAAAAATTAAATTGAATATAATTAAAAAAGAATTATTTTTTAATATCTTGATTAAACAAAGTTCTTAACAACAATCTTTTCATTAATTTTATTGAATAAACTCTTTTATAGTATAATGTTAATACAAAGATATAAAAGGTGTATTCATATATAATAAATAAAAATAAGTTTCTTAAATAATAGAAAATTTCTTAAAATCAGGAATAAATAAATTTGTTCAAATAATTTAAAAAAAATAATAATAACAATTCAATTAAAATATTCTTTTGAAACAAAGTAAATAAAAATAGTAGTATATTTTTTAGAAGATATTGAATTTTATTTTTATTTTTTATTTTTTAAAAAGAAATTTTTGTAATACACTTATATAGAAGTATTCTTTCTTTTCTTTCTCTTTTCTTTATATAGTCTAACTTCAATAATTTAATGATTAATAAGATAATTGACTTTCCAATGGTCTAATGATTTCACAAGTTAAAGAGTGTAATATTGTTTAACAGATCAAACTTAGAGATACACTCTAAATTTTTAGTCATGATATAAACCATCGTGATTTGATTGTAGGAACAAAATCAAAAATTAACTGTTAATTTTAGAGTTTGCGTATTTTACCTTTTTTTTTTTTTTTTCATTATTCACCGCATACAGAATTCGTTATTTTATTATTTCTGAATTTTCGGTTAAATTAAAGAGGTTTACTTATCCACCCTGAAGGTGCTTCATCTCTCAGTCCTGGCATTTAAATAACGGGGATTGATGTTTTTTAAAACGAAGTTAATTTGAACACGCGTTAAATACATGCACCAATTTTGCACGTGATATTTTGTCTTTAGAGACATTTTCTTCGGTCGCATCGAAGCACGTGATATATAAATAGGTCTCATCCGAGATCTTCATCTCACCTTCTCTTTCGAAGATCAAAAAAACATCACTGTCACTTTTATTAAAGTAATAAATAATGGCGTCACGGATCCTATCCAGAGTCACAGCAAAGCTTACCATTGGATCGAATGCCGCTTTTCGTGGTTTGTATGCACGTAGTTTAACATCTCAGGCTACCGAGAAAGCTAGTAATGCTGCCAAAGGCACCTTGTCCAAGATTGCCGGTAATATATACAAGACAAAACACATAATTTGAGAATGAAGAACTTGAGAGAAGAACTCTTTGTTCTTATTTTTGTTAACGAATATTGACCCGAAACTTTCCATGGCAGGGTTTCAGAAGCCAATTGTTTATAACGCCCGAGTTTTGAAGGAAATAGCGAAGGAGGTTTACGTCAAGGAGAATCTCCGTCCTCCCAGCGCAGCTCAAATTTCAGAGGTTTGGGAAGGACTTAAATCTATTAGACCAAGTGACATTAACAAATTGAGCTCCGATGATATTAAAACAATCGGAGTACGGTCTCTGGAATGTTTGGGATTCTTCATCATTGGGGAGGTAATTGGCAGAAGAGGTTTAATTGGCTATAATAGTTAGAATTTAGAAAATTCTGGTGAAAAGAAGAGCATATTGTAGTGCATTTATTCTATTAAAATTACGTAAATTATCGTATCTTAGGATAACCACAGAATTCTCGCTTTGAATGATCATTAGATTAGAATGATATGCAAATGACCGCAAAGCAATCGGTGATGAATGACTTTATGAATACAATAGGAGCCGTTAGGGCAAAATAATTGTAAAATCTACGATCCACTTTATCTAATCATCTTGAGCTTGTTGCAGTCTTAAGGTTGAAGAAACGAATGTGTAAAAAGGTGAATCATATATGGGGTTAAGAAATATGTTGTTCTAAGATCGAATGCTGCCGTCGTCGGGGGAATTTACATCTATTGAGGAGACGCCATCCGATGTTCGAGAATTTTCTTGGGTAAGTTTTTCCTTTTAATTCGCGTGAAAAAAAAAAGTGCATGTATGCGAGGTCAGCCATAGTAATTAAGAATGGAGCAAGTCAAGTGGAAGGGATCTATTTGATGACTGGAAGAGAAGCAAGAGATAGTAGAATCCAAGACGAACCAGTTCCTTTCGTGTAGCCCATTCTCTACCTTGTGCAACTCTCCGATTAAATTGAATACCTACTCTTATGGAACCGTATACTGGCGCATAAGAGGAAATTGTGTTAAATAGTTTAATTTGAATTTATCAATGCATTTTCTGTTGAGATCAAACAACGTTTATTCAATAAATAAAAAAATGAATTCATAACACTCGCAATGCGCCACTATAATGTAGATAGATACACCAGGCTTTTTATAAGATTGTTTTTCATATACCTGCGATACCAACTAACGTAAGAACTACCGTTTTATGTGCGATATCCGCTATTTTAGTGCCTATTGACATTCTCACTTTGTGATTTTTTTTTTAATCCCGAAAGTTTGAATCTAAAAAAAAATTCGATGCCGATCGACATTTATAATCATTTCTAATTTTGTCATGCGATCATTTTAATTTATAACTCAGGCCAGAATCAAAAACGGTGTAACCGGAATGACTCGGGGAGCTGCGCCCTAGTGTAATCTGATCACGGTCCGGGGAATAATAAATTATATGGCTTCCAAATGACAAGGATCCAGCAACGCATGTTGATCTTAACGTCTCGATATTAAAAAAAAAACCTGATCACCAACATTCTCCTATTTACAATAACGGTCAGCTTTAACTTTTTCACGACGATCGAGTAGCCTGTTTGAAAAGATGTAAAAATTGAGATGTTATAAGAAAAATATATTAGAACAACGTTGTTGATATTGCGCTTACGCTTCGGCCATTTTTCCCTCTTTCTTTGCCTTCTTTAGTTCCGACACATCTTCTTTGGTGGTCTTTATTCTACCGCCACCCCAGGTCTGGTATTTCTTGCTATAAGATGTAATAATGCACGACACTTATTATCTCGACATGATCGAGCAAATCAAACTCATGCAAATACTAACATCTGCTCAATTTCAAGTTCATCAATTCTCTTGGTCTCCTTCTTATCGCTCTTTGCTTTCTTACGGAATCTCGCTTGACATTTTACAATCCAAGTTTCACAAAACCCCACCGTCTCCGCATCCGCTCTTAAGCTAAAACCACCATCAGCTATCTCGTCAGCACTCAAAAATTTTTCATAAGCATTCTGTAGCGCAATCCCGTCATTTCTTATAACAGGAGTCCACTCTTCCTGCGGACCGATGGCCTCTCGATCCGCCGTAATGATACCAAACTTGTCGGAGGCAAGGTATTTTCCCGAGAAAGTTTTCAAAGAAATGCGGGTCTCTGAACCAACAATTTTAGCACCTACGAACACCGAAGACACCTCCTCTGGCTCACAATCCAGAAGCTGTTTGCTCGGATGTAAGGGACGAACACCGATCGTGCCATCTTTCTCGGAACAGTAAAGGCAAGAGAGAGGTTCGCTATTGAATATGAGAAATATGGGGCCAATAAGGTCATCTTGTATATCGGCACGAACCCAACCTGTGCAAGTAAAATGATCGATTAACATCAACTCATGTGCTAAAGGATATGTGATATCAAGCAAGTAACCAGCACTGTACCTTCTTGGCTACCTTCCTCCTCAAGAGACTCTTCTGCCTTGCGCTTCTTCTTCTTTCTTTGTAAAATGGAAATTAGAATGGGTTGTCGATCCAAATTCCAATCAGGGACCGCTTACCTGGAAGTTTTATCACCCTTGAAACTTAATTTTCCCTTGGAGGCGAATTTGTAATCCGACATTTCGAGGTAAACTTAGAATACACTAATTACGAAGGGAAAAAAAATCGATCCAATGATGCAATGTTGTTTGTGTCACAGTTCCGTCATGAAGTTGCATGCACCGCAGATCTGCAATCGGATATAAAAGCGGTTGTTTTTTTAGTTGCCAGTTCCCCTAAAATTTCACAAAATAATTTTTTAGATTTCAATCCACATTTCGTTTTACGCTTGTTAAATAACTTGAGATGGCGGCCGGGGATTCGCTAAGATATCACGCACGCACTATGAACCCTCCTGGTATCTAACATCTCATTCCTAAGGTCATACGAAGTATTTCCCTTCTTTCGTTGTTTTCATGAACGTACTTTCTAATTCAGGTCCCCCAGCTACCTATGGGTCGAGAACAATGACGCTTCACCCAGAAGAACTTGCCGAGACCGAAGGTCAAGAATCTTCAGGGGAAACCAGTGTTCACTCAGAAGAGATCGGAACCTTGAAACTTCGTGGTGGGCAAAATGACAGGAAGGTCAAGTGGGATAACGGAGTTGTCGACAACGAAGGCATGGGCAAAAAAAAGTCGAAAAGTAAATATTTTACGATACCCATACGCATTCCAAGTGAACTATAATATTATAGAAATAACCACCGCAACATTTAATATTTCAGTTTGCTGCATTTACCACAAACCAAAACGGTTTGATGAATCTTCGGATGAGGATTCCAGCTGCGATTCTGATGATTCAGATCATGAGCATGATCACGAACACGAACACAAACACAAAAGTTCTGATGGACGTTATCGGAGTAGCAGCCCGAATGCTTATGAACGACAACCACAATATAAAAGTAAGCGTGGAACTATAAAATGAGAAATCTGTAAGGCGATGGTCAAATCAACTCCTATATTGGTTGACCAAAGATGATTCAATTCCATTTTAAATACATTAATATCTCTCGAATCTTCATTATATATTGTAATCAAAATTATATAATTAATTGTTTTTCCTTTGCCAAATTTATCGTTTCTCTTTTGTACGTAAAAAAAAAAAAAAAAAAAAAATACACTTCATTTTTTTTTGGTTATCAAGTGTATGAACAACAAAAAAGTAATTTTTTTCTTTCTTCTCTTTTCTTTTTTTTTCTTTCATAGAAAAAGCCTAACAACTTCATGACTCTTTCAGAGCAAAGGGATCAATGCCACCAGTTTTAGCCACCAATTCTCTAGGCATAACATTTTCTACTTGTGGATCAACGGTGGGAAAAGGTGGTGGAATACAATCTGGTGGAAAACACTTGGCACCTTTTTTATTCACGGAATCCCTGATCCTAACAAATTGACCATCGTGCCCTGGAACCGGCCCTTTGACATATATCAAATTCAGGGCATTATCTATTTTCAGGACCCTTGCGTTGATCGCCGTACAATTATTTCCACCCATTCTGCCCGCCATCTTTTTACCTTTGAAGACTCTGCCTGGGTTCTAACAATTTTATTATTATTTTTTTTTTTTAAAAAAAAAAAAGAAAATAACGGATCAGATGGTTGAAAATAATGAATAAACGCGTAAGTCTAATCTTATCCTTTGCGAACCTGATTTTGACCCGTGGAACCCGCTGATCGATGCGTAAGAGAAGTGCCATGTGATGCGGGCAGACCTTTGAAACCCCATCGTTTCATCACACCAGCGAAACCTTTTCCAAGCCTAACATGGGGACAGATTTTAGTACAAGAGGAATTACAACGTTATCAATTAGTCTTCGTAAAAATCGTAATTCCCCCTACGTTGGTGCCTGTAAGTCGACATACTGTCCCGGAACGAAATGGGCTGCTCTGATCTCAGTACCTTCACAGTGTTGCAAGTTAATGAGAATCATTTCTGAAACGATTCCATCATCAAAGATACGCGCATGACTCACCAACAGGCAGAACAGCGTCTTGAGTCACGTGAAACTCGATCAGTTTCCATTTCGGAGACACACCAGCAGATTTGAAATGACCTAACTGGGGCCTCGGCACATTTTTTTCTTTATCCGTGCAACCAATCTGAACGGACACTAAATCTGGCTTAACGAATTTAGCGTTCTCTTTAATTTGCACGACTTGAACGTTTTCCAACTTGAGTCGAATGCCAAATGGGACGATTTCGCAACTCCATCAGATTCAAAATGATTTCATCGGACATTCATCCGCTAACAAAAATACACAAATCCTACCTGTAGAACTGTGCAAGGTTGCCTCACTCCCCATTCGTCCCACAATGCCATCATACCTTTTTTTCGGGCGATGGCGCCCAATCTAACCGACTTCTCCGTCCAAGGCAATTTTTGTTCCAACTGTAATGTCCATTTATCGAGTTGATCTTGTTGTTTGAGACGCGGATGGCGTCTTGACAACAAGGAACTTTTGCGTTGGATTATTGAGGTATCAACTCGCGCTGGCGAAGTCACAATTGTCCATTTTGGATCTTTGTTAGCCAAGTTCTCATATTTGGTAAAGGTTTCCGTTATTTCCGGAGGTTTGGATGACTCTTTTGGCGCCTTATATTTTTTATATTTCAATGAGTTGACAAAGTGCGGTGAATAGTGTAGAGGCCTTGAATGTATTGGTGTGCGTGAAAAGTATACTAATCGAGACAAATGTGAATTTGATAACATTACGTATTTTTAATAATAATAATAATAATAATAATAATAAAACGGAAGAAACGTAAATTAATGCAGAAGATCAGAAACGTGACAGAAAAATTGATTATCAGATCAGCGATAATTTTTAAAATCGTTTAATAATGTCTTTTCGAAACCCAAATGCCCCTGATCAGGATAAGGCAATACGTGAAACCGACGAAGACGCCGTTACGAGCAAACTGTAAGTTGATTAAAAAGCAAATAAAACGTTCGAGTAGGTAGGTCGGGAGCACAAAATAAGCATATACCCTTTTGCACAACAAAAGTTCGGCGGTAAACGCGGGGTACATAAAGGACGAATTCGTTAAATGGTTTGTTAAAAGGCCTGCCAGGAGATCTCCTGTTATTAATAGGGGTAAATAATTGTTCGTCACATGACCATTCGAGTTTACGTTCCAGTTGTACGAACTAACTAATTTTAAACACAGGAACGCATGTTCGCACTATAGGATTGGATACCTTGATCATAAAATTTCTGGAAATTGATGATGAAAAGAAACAGATTGTTTCGCTTGGTGCCGGATCCGATACGCGATATTTCTATCTAAAGGTTTGATGTGGTTTTTTTTTTTTTTTTTTTTTTTAACGGCAAGCATTAATCTCAGGTTGACTGATGATAACTTCGTTCTATTAAAAAAAGGCATCATCTCGAAAATTTCATAAATATTTCGAGATCGACTTTCCTGAGGTCACAGTCAAAAAGGTTTTGACCGTTCGAAAGCACAAGGAACTATCCGATTTGATTGGAGAAGATGCTCAACTAGGTTAGAGCCGCAATGCAATTAGCCGGGAGATCATTACTGGCGCCTTGGAATATAACAACTGATGATTTCAAAAAATGCAGGCAAGGGTAATACCGAAATTTACGCGTCGGATTACTGTTTGCTATCAGGCGATCTCAGAGAGTTTGTCCGAGATATGGTGCCGAGAATGGAATCCAACGGATTCGATCGCAGGTAAAACAAGGACTTCCCGAATTAATTTGAAGTTTATTTGATTAATCCTCCATCTTAATATCTAAAAGGATCCCGACCTTGTTCATATCTGAATGCGTGATGATTTACATGGATCCGAATGATTCCAACAAAATTATCGAATGGGCTGCTGCCAACTTATTAACTACAATGTTTATAGTTTATGAACAAATTTTACCAAATGATGTTTTCGGATCCACGATGTTACAAAATTTAAAATACCGGAACATAGAGCTTCGCGGTATACACGCATTTCCTGATCTAGAAAGTCAGAAAGAACGATATCTTTCGCGTGGGTGGACCCATGCAGAAGCAGTTGACATAAATAAAGTTCACGATTCTCACATCGATCCCAAAGAGCTCGCACGGTATTACCATAACTGTACTAATAATAATTATGTGGCAGTGTTCTATGGATTATTTCTTATTTGGGTGAATATCTTTTTTTAGAATATCGAAATTAGAATTTTTGGACGAGTTCGAGGAGTGGCGTCTTCTCGCTGCGCACTATTTTATTGCCTGGGCTTACAAGGTAACTAATGAATCACAAAAATCATTATACGACAAAGTGCGATTCGATGATTACAAGAACACAACACATCCGTAAACCCGTGATCTATGACATAAATTACTTCAACTATTACAATGATACCGTCATAATATTAAAATTTATTCCAAAGTCCAACTTTTCCTTATTACCTAATGATGAATAGAATGACAAAATAAGATTAGTAAATGTCTCCTGAATTCATAAGACGTTCATCTGCTTGCTCGGCGTTTCGCTCATAGAGAAGATTACAAAATCATGACTCAACCAATGAGTTCTGACTTTAAGAACAACGATACTTATTCAAGGTGTAACATCATAGCGAGAGAGGAAAAAAAATAAAAAACGAGACGATACCTTTTTTTTTTTTTTATCGACACGTGTGGTGATGTTGCTACCTATAAATAGCCAATCATTCGGTGATTAGGGACCCCTTATAAAGATAGACCCTAAAAAAAAAATAAATAAATAGCATTACAGCATTACACATCCGAAAATCACCTGACATGTAATATAAGATTACGTAACTCGTAGTTGGCAAACTTCACAACCATGGTCAACATCGAAGAGGAACTCATCGCGATCGCAGGAATTCCTTTACAAAAGGATAAAACTGCCAAATACCGTTCTTTGCTCGAAACAACCCTCACTTCCTCGGCAGACGACGTGGTTCTAGCAGGAAACCTGGAAAAATTTGTTGACCATATAGTGCAGGACCAAGTTGGTTTAGTGATTTCTCGTCAGATGTTAACCGAGTTCGTGCAGGGTGTTGACAAGATAGAAAACTCAGAGATCAAAAAACGCGTATTACACTTTGCACTGGGAAAAGTTCAACCTCGAATCGTGAGCTTTGAGGAACAGGTAACATAACCCGATCCAAATACCCAAATTTTCGGCTATCCACGACCAATTTTCCGCAATGAACGAAATGGGTAAATTTCTTTGTAGATCTCAACACTTCGCGAGAAATTATCTGAAATTTATGAGAATGAGGAGGATTGGCTTGAAGCTGCTAAAGTATTGCAAGGAATTCCACTGGATTCTGGACATCGGTACTTGATCATTGCACTTTAACTTCACGAAGTAAAAATTGCCAAGGTTTAGTTGATAATGTACACGTTGTTCATTTTCATAAAGAACGATCTCGGATGAATATAAACTTGGAATTTACATCAAAATTGTCCGACTACTTTTAGAAGAGGACGAGGCTGTGTCGGCTGAAACTTATCTTAGTCGTGCCGCGTTGTTGATACCTGGTTGTAAAGATCAATTCATCAATTTAACATTCAAATTGTCACAGGCTAAGATCTTTGACTTCAAGAGAAAATTTCTTGAAGCCAGTTCAAAGTATCATGAGCTAAGTTATGTTACTGAACTAGCACCAGAAGATCGAATTAATTGCCTGTCAGTCATCTATTTTGTTTTCATTTTTTTTTTTTTTTTTTCATCCTATTTTATTTATTTATTTATTATTATTATTATTATTATTATTATTATTATTATTATTATTACTATTATTATTATTATCATATAATATATAAATATACACGGCTTCACAATGATTCATCAATTTATTCACTAGGAATGCAGCTATTACTTGCGCGGTGCTTACGGGGGCCGGACCGCAGCGATCACGTATGTTGGCTACACTCTATAAAGATGAACGAGTGCAGCGTTTGCCACACTTTTCCATCCTTGAGAAAATGTACCTAGACCGTGTTTTGCGACCGAACGAAGTCAAGGGGTTCGCCGAAACGCTCAAGGATCATCAGCGTGCACGTCTGGCCGATGGTACAACTGTGCTCGATCGTGCCGTGATTGAACATAATCTTTTGTCGGCATCCATGATATATAACAACATCACATTCGAAGAGCTTGGTTCCTTACTAGCAATAACGCCCGATCAAGCCGAACAAATTGCTAGTTCAATGATAGAACAAAATCGTATGCAAGGAACGATCGATCAAATTGAAAGATTGATCTTTTTCGAGAATAATAATTCTGCTGGTCACGGAAAAACGGTTGGAGGTGCGCTTGGTGTAAAGTGGGACGTGGCGATTCAAAATGTGTGTCATCATGTGGAGGAGGTTGTGATTGCAATTGGCACCAAATACCCCGAGCTTATGCAAAAGACTACATTTTAATACACACTGACCAATGTCATAAAGAGAAGTATTTATATTACATCGTACCTTAATCTCATCTAATATTAGAAGATTAAATGGTCGCGTAAAATTAATACAATGTTCTCCTTAATAAAAATTCATTAGTTAATTTTGTGACTCCCGACAAGCAAAGATGGATACCCCTATTTTAAATACAAAGGTCGTCCAGCTATGACTTGTAGAGGTTTGACACGAAAAAAAAAGATTACGGCCCTGATTTGTTCATGTTCTAAAAGAATTTCGTCTTTAAGCGGTTTTATTTATCGCGTCTGTTTTATGACAACGAAATAATTTCAAGTGAGAAAACAGCATACGTACAGTAAGTACGTATATCTATATATTCTTTCTTTTTGTTTCTTTTTTTTTTTTTTTTTTTTATATTGCAATTTATGAATGTAAAGTACCACATGGCACAAATAAAATCGTATCTTCACCTCCGTATACCATGAAAATTGAATTTTACTAGGGTGACGTTTCAATAATTTAGTGAACAGAATTTGTGATTAAAAATTATTATCAAATTATAGCATTAAATTAAATCATCGGGAAAGAATTTCAGTAAGTCAAGGCTTAGATGACTCTTTCTCTAATCTTTCGGCTTCAGCTTCCAATTGTGCCTTTTTATTTTTCCTCAGTTGCCGTTCTTCATATCTAGTCGAGAAATTTTGTTTACTACATCTCTCTGACCTGACAGGTCGCAAAACCAATGGATGAAACACCAACCTCTTCCTATGTTCAATTATCCTCTCAATAATACTATCGGTTGTCAAGTCCGCGGAAGGGTTTACTATTTCTTTGTAAATCCCTTTCTCTTTTGGAATCTAAAAAAGGACCGTCATCAATGTATTGAAATCCAACAAATCTCTAACTATTATTCAATTTACCTTATAAGGGTCTTGGCCATTAATATCTGGCAAAGAAGGTGCATTTCCATGAGCAACAATATCTACTTTGTAAACTTCAGAGAGTACATTCTCGTCAACACTATACGGTGCCCCAATAATAACTTCATCGACATGCTATAACACAAGCAGACGAGTCAATTAAATGTAAAATATATTAAGTCTTACAAGTTAAAAACTCACTCTACATGCGAGAACGCTTAACACGCGTTCATGCAGATTCATCAATGGGTAGTTCACCCCTTTAATGGCATTCACTGTCTATTGAAAAACGGGAATCAAATTTTATGTTAAAGGACCTAATGGTTCGATTATTTCACATTTCACTATCTAATCACCTGATCATCGTGAACTCCGACCAAAAGGTAATTACCCAGGTCCTTGGCTCTCTTCAGAAATTCGATGTGACCAACATGAAATAGATCGAAAGTCCCGTCGACGTAAACAACTTTGTCTCCGGGATTTGGTTCCCTTCCTTCTGAAAATTGCACTATCCTTCTAGAAGTGGGCAAAAAATGTGAAATCTTTGTCTCAGGACTTTGCTTAGACGCGCTACTACTGAAGGTGCTTAAATCTTCATTATTGATAGAAGATATGGAAGAACGACGATGATGATGATCACGCGTCATAAGTAACATGCGTCCCACGAGTTCCGTGGTAGAGATACCTTGGGTACGTTTACATTCACGATAACGACCCGCATCTTTAACTGCTTGGTAACAATCCGTCCCGTCCGCTGTTGTAGTTATGTCGTCGCCGTGAACACAGAAGTCGCAATTATATTGATCCATCACTTCGAGACTTGTGGTATAAGGCGCATCTGGAACTACAAGATCAACCCATTTGCAGGCTGCGACGGCAGCGTACCTAGCAACAATAAACAATCCGATAAATTACAATGAATTTTTACGGAAAATGGAAAATATACCTTTATACCTTTCTTCTTCTTTCATGACGGTTGGTCCCTTATGTCTTTCAATTTCCGCATCCGAGTGAACACCTGCTACAAGGAAATCCCCCATTGCTTTTGCCTTAGCAGAAGAGTCGAGCAATTAAATGATTGATAAATCCATTTCCGGAAATAGAATATACGACAAATTTTAACTACCTGGCGTAAAGCGTTAGCATGACCGTAATGCATCATGTCGAAACAACCGTCTACCCATACCCTTTTGGAACATGCCATACGCGATAATTATCGTAATTATGTGATTCACGAAAGGAAAACTACAAACAGAGCTTGCCAGCATTAATAATCACCTTATGGGCTTACGTTTTTTGTTCTGCGACATTATTCCAATGGATATTACGGCACCAAAGCTCGGTTCACTTTAATTATGCGTTTAAATGATAAATTTCGTGTTTGAGATTAGATAATCAATCAAATTAGGATGGGGTTTCAAGTGAAAATCACATAAAATCACATGTATTCTTTTGCATCATAAACTACGCATATATTGTATGAGCTGTTCTTTTTTGCTTGTATAATAAAAATTTTAACGTCTACTTGATTTTTACAACTATTTTTTTTATGATCCACAGTCATGCCATCATGGTATATTATTTTAAAAATATATTAATCAAACATTCTAAGCCAGATTTAAGAAAAAAATTTTTATTATTTTTTTGGATAATTTGATATTTTTTTTTTTTTTTTTTTTTTTAACCCTCTGTCAAGCTAGTTATGTGTGCTTTATTAAACAATTGTAAGCTGTACATATAGTATGAATCGCTAAAGCTAAAACTTTAACTAG